AGTGGAGAATGTAATGTGTACAGGTGAGGCTCTTAGCTTATAACCAGGTCGCACTTCATTAGGATCACCTGTGTATCCTGGTAGCACTGCTGGAAGAAAATACTGCTTGGATGTACTATCATAATGCTTAGTTTGAACTTGAGCTGCAAGACGAAAATGAACTAAAAATTCAATTATTTCTGTTGGATCAATACCACTTGACTGCCATACTTCTTGATAGAGTGGTTGAACAAGAATGCCTTTATTTCGCAACAAATACCATTTTTTCCCTCCACTCCATCCTTTTTCTAGTGGGAACACCTTCCCGATGGTATCAACAAACCATTTTGGACTGAGAATGACTTTTTTAGTCAGCCCTTTTATTTTGGGATAGTAAAGCAGAACTCCCAGCTCATGATAGAACTTCAATACTTCAGGAATGTCACCTGCTGGTATATGACACGCTTTTCCAATAGCAATTGCCTCAGATACCCCAATGACATTCTGCTTTAGCTCTTGAAGAACTTTGCGAAAGAGAAACCAATTAACAGGGGTTTTGACAACTAAATTACTGATAAAACTATCAATTGCTCCACGTAATTTTGTAATGCTTGGATCTTCTTCTTCTCCTTTGCCTGAGGTCGTATTATCAACGATTAGCACATCTTCAATAAGATCTGCAAACTCTTTCTTCTCATACAGGGACTGTATTTGCTTTTTTACTTTTTTCTTGCCCTTTTCATTTAGCATGTCACCACGAGTGCCAATACAATAGAGACTAGGAGAAGATGAAGTATCATCTATGTTGTGCTTGACCATGAAGTAGCTGCATCTTGAATCATTTATTTTGCGCTTTACGAGATAACAATGTATTGTAGACATCCATTTAGCCATTAGATCACTTGTGCTTTCATTCACTACCTCACCAAACAGCACTTCACCATCAGGAGTATTCTGACGTGACTGCCATCTTTCTCTGAAATCCTTTGAGGCATCAAACAGGAGGAGAAACATTGTACGAGGAGTGAGGAAGGCTGGGAGAATCTCAAGGAACACTGGCTGACCACCACAATCCCATATATGAAGAAATGGCTAAAAATTAACATCATTATGTTACAATGCAATTTAATGTACACAAGTACACATGACTCACTTGAACATGAGAGTCTGCCATTTGATATGTACGAGCTCTTTTAAGTAACACTTTGATTTTTGCATCTAGATCTGAAGATTTGGCACTACTTTTTGTGGAAGATAAATCAAGTGAACCAGATACTAAACTTGATTCAGATGCAACATCAGAGGATGATTTAGATAGACTGGATTCAAACAAACGAGCCAGCTCCTTTAGTTCATCTTCTTCTGTGCTTTCTCTCCATTTTTTATCTCTCAATTTTTCTCTCATTGTTTTCCACTCATGTCCAAATGGTCGTACAGAGGATACATCAGATACAATGGTGCTTGTAGTATGAGGATTGAAAGGTTCTTCCATTAATGAACGCTTGAGACACGTCTTGCCAGTACCAGCTGATCCCAGTAACATCAGACGAGCATACGCTACATCAGCACTTCCTTGTTCTTCGAGAGCTCTCTGATATCTTTCATATGGACCTAAACAATAAATATATATAGGATAAGTAACTAGAAACAAATCTGTTGTATTGGCAATTGGCAATCCTGTGAAAAAAAATAACTCTGCCATTTCTGTATGCTAGGTTAAAAAGTGTCAGTTATAAAGTTATAAAGTGTCAGTTATAAGTGTCAGTTATAAAGTCAGTTATAATTGCAGACAAATTTGAAAATATATACATGTAATATGATTATCACTATATGTACTCTTGCTATAGTTTACTGCATTTACTTACTTCTATTCTACAAGATAGCAACGATGTCAGGAATTTTGGAATAAAAATTAGCTATACATATTGCATCACTTACAATGAGCTAAAAAGGCAACACAATGATTAACATTAAAAAATAAAATCACAGAATTTACATGCAATGTGACTTACTGCCTAAAAGTTTGTCAACAACACAGTTTAGTAAAGTATCACAATGGTATAGAAGAAAAGAATCAAATTACACATTCACATGTGATGTGACTTACTTGCTGAAAGATTGTGAATAACACAGTTTAGTAAAGTATCACAATGGTATCATAGAAGAAAAGAATAAAATTACACATTCAAATGTGACGTGACTTACTGCCTGAAAGATTGTGAATAACACAGTTTAGTAAAGTATCGCAATGGTATCATAGAAGAAGAAAATAAAATTACACATTCACATGTCACATACATGTAGCTTACATTCTGAAAGATTGTGTATAACACGTACAGTTTAGAAAAGTATCACAATGGTATCATATAAGAAAATTATAAATTCATATGTGACATGACTTACACACTGAAAGATTGTCATCAACACAGTTTAAATTAGTAAAGTATCACAATGGTATCATAGAAGAAATGGAATAAAATTAGAAATTCACGTGTGATGTGACTTACCATCTAAAAGATTTTGAATTACACAGTTTAGTAAAGTATTAATTATATCATAGAAAAAGAATAAAATTACGCATTCACATGTGACATGACTTACTATCTGTAAGATTGTGAAAAACACAGTTAGTAAAGTATCACAATGGCATCATAGAAAAAAAGAATAAAATTACACATTCAAGTGTGAGGTAACTTACTGACTGAAAGATTGTGAATAACACAGTTTAGTGAAGTATCACAATGGCATCATAGAAAAGAATAAAATTACAAATTTACATGTGATGTGACTTACCACCTGAAAGGTTGGGAATAACACAGTTTAGTAAAGTATCACAATGGTATTGTAAAAGAAAAGAATAAAATTACACATTTGCATGTGACTTGACTTACTCTCTGAAAAATTGTGAATAACACAGTTTAGTAAAGTATCACAATGGTATTATAGAAGAAAAGAATAAAATGACACATTCATATGTGATGTGACTTACCAACTAAAAGATTGTGAATTAAAGTATCACAATGGTATCATAAAAGAAAAGAATAAAATTACAGATTTGCATGTGATGTGACTTACCAACTAAAAGATTGTGAATTAAAGTATCACAATGGTATCATAGTGAAAAGGATTAAAATTACACATTTACACGTGATGTGACTTACTCTCTAAAGGTGAATATAACAGTTTAGTAAAGTATCACAATGGTATCATAGAAGAAAAGGATAAAATACATATTAACATGTGACATCACTTACATCCTGAAAGATGGTGAATAACACAGTTTAGTAAAGTATCATAATTATCATAGTGAAAAGGATTAAAATTACACATTTACATGTGATGTGACTTACTCTCTAAAGGTGAATAACACAGTTTAGTAAAGTATCACAATGGTATCATAGAAGAAAAGAATAAAATTACACATTCACATGTGACGTCACTTACATCCTGAAAGATGGTGAATAACACAATTCAATATAGTATCACAATTATGATAAAAAAGAATAAAATTACACATTCACATTTGAAGTGACTTACATCCTGAAAGATGGGTGAATAACACAGTTTAGTAAAGTATCACAATTATCATAGAAGAAAAGAATAAAATTACACATTCACATGTGACATGACTTACCCACTGAAAGATTGCAAGTTTAGTAAAGTATCACAATGGTATCATAGAAGAATAGAATAAAATTACACATTCACATGTGATGTGACTTACTAGCTAAAAGATTGTGAATAACACAGTTTAGTAAAGTATCACAATGGTATCATAGAAGAAAAGAATAAAATACATATTAACATGTGACGTCACTTACATCCTGAAAGATGAGTAAATAACACAGTTTAGTAAAGTATCACAATTATCATAAAAGAAAAGAATAAAATTACACATTCACATGTGACATGACTTACCCACTAAAAGATTACAAGTTTAGTAAAGTATCACAATGGTATCACAGAAGAATAGAATAAAATTACACATTCACATGTGATGTGACTTACTAGCTAAAAGATTGTGAATAACACAGTTTAGTAAAGTATCACAATGGTATCATAGAAGAAGAGAATAAAATTACACATTTGACATGACTTACTGCCATCTTTTGAGAATGTTATGAACCTGTGATACAATGAGAATAATGGAAAGCTAAAAATATCAATAGCCAATAACAAGTTGTAGGTCAAAAAGATCATGAAATTGGAAAATAGACATTGATTGCAGTTTGCATGTACCATATGTGTATTAATGTATTATTATATATTAATGTGTGTATTAATGGAATATGATGTTAAAAGTTATTAATTGCTAATTTTTTTTGCAAATTTTGTGATTTATGGTATGCATCATATCTACTGTACCTAGTCTTGTGTACCCAGACTCCTCCGCTGTTTGATGTTGGGCCGCCCCAATGTCAATAAAGGGAAGAGCCTGGCTATGCGAGACTAGTATCTACCCAGAGGAGGTTAAACAAAGTCACTGAATTAACAAAGTCACTGAATTTATGTGGTTGCAACTAAAGTGTACAAAATTTAAATTAGCTGAACTTTCTATTAACCACCTCCTGGCATTGGTGAAAAACAAAGAAAAACAAAGAGCATGGCTCACTAAAGTAACTCCAATTTAATATGCAAGTAATTCATATTAACAGCCTATTAAAATGCCACACCTTCCTGCATCAATCTTACACACAAAAGGATAAGTGATGAATTTAACTGGAACACCTGAGGTGTTCCAATTAAATTCATCACTTGTCCTTTTGTGTGTAAGTTAGGAATGAAGCACCATGGTGCGTGGACTCGCCTGCTGAGATTCACCTGAGGGATAATATGTGTTACTTGTACTGCTCCCATCATGATTTGAAAAAAGGATACTAGATTTTGAGTAAACTGCAACAATGCAATTACTGCACTGATCCATAAAATAAATTATAGGTGTGGTCAGCACTTAGCAGTGCAGATAGGGGTGTCCCGATTATTCCGGAATAATTTTGGGAATAATAGGTAGCACTTCAATTCCAGAATAATGCTGGCCTAATGGATGGATCAGTAGTCAAACTCCAATTAAAGAGCAGCAAATGCACAATTTTTGAATTTTTTAATGCCTGAGCTAGTTGTAACT